TTTTTTTTTTTTTTTTTTTTTTTTTTTTTTTTTTTTTTTTTTTTTTTATATAATTACTTAACTTTACCTGTCTCTGATATTCTCCAAGTAATTCGTTATGAAGTCCGCCATCTCTTTGGAGAAATCCTTAAACGCGTTGGGATCCATTTCTACGTTCTATTCTCTATAAATAATACAATCAATTAATATTTCAGTGAGTCATTATTATTTTCTCTAATACCTATCAATATATAATAGCCATGCAACTATACCGGAATTACTAAATTAGCGAGACCTAATTTCGCAATTTCAAGTGACACTGACTTTGTGACCGAAGCTCGTTACCTTTCTCCGTTCAAGGTAAAAACTAAAAGGGACCTTCCAGTTGATACAAAAAATAGTAAAAGGAAATTATTTTAAAACCCGAGATTGACTAAGCTCACGAAAATCGTATTTTTTTTTCTATTTCATCACGTCTGGTTATGTTAGGTATCAATTTGATAATCGTCCCCATTGTAGCATCAGTCAAATTATAAATTTTGTCAATAATATTTTTACTTATAACTGTATATATGTATAGTCACCCGTAAAAAGAAATTATGTATAATATTTTTTTTCTAATTAATTCTCAAAAATATTCTGCACATGTATATGTGTATTTTATTTGTATATGTATATATCTATATATATATATTATATATATATATATATATATATATATAACCATTATACTTCATTTTAAATACATAACAATATATGTATACAATATATATATATATATATAATCGACTGTCACAAATTCCTGTGAAAATGTCCATAAAGCGTTGCTTTTAATGCATGTATTCCTCGCGAAATATCTAATACACATCAGGTGGGAGTTGTACACGTGGTCTGCTGGGATTAACACACTTGGTGTTTCCTCAGTAGAAAAGTAAGAGCGGTCTCTTACTGGTCGGAGCAATGACCATGACTCATTTTCGCAGAGCAAGTTTCATTCTTGTTATTCGTTCTACGTCACAGTGCATTGTGCGAAATCAAACGTCTTTCCTTGCCGTTAAAGATTCCCGAAACGAGACGAAGAAAATAAAGGACGGTATATCGGGCGACGTCAACATTTCCACGAATCGTTGCAGAGCCGACCGGTTTTATGGTTTTTCCGTGAAATCGATCAGCCTTAAGATACATTTTTTGTAAGTTGTAGTTATATCATGACTCAACGATCAATCGAGATGATTTAGCCGATAGTACGTTTTTTTTTAACATTTTGGGAATTCCCGGATTATTTTTGAAATATTTTTTCAAAGTTTTATATATTTCTGGAAAAACAAATTTTATTCGACTCTTTACTGGTGCATGTTGCTTTCACGCGGGAACTCGGGTTTACTGATCTTACCAGAAATGTTGCACAATACTGATTACTTAATGTCGCGTTCCTCGACTTCAAGTTTTTTGCACCTGTTTCTTATACACGGCAAATATCAGATTTACAAGTCCCCAGTACGATGAGGGAAACAAAACGTTTTTTGAGGATACACTTGACAGGTAAAATACCTTGAAATTTATAGTATTTGTTATATTTCGTGTTTACGTAATTTTGATACTTTTATCGGGAAAACTGATGAACGAATCTTTTCGGAAAAAATGATATTCAGAAGAGTATCTTTCGGGGAAATATCCTACTACGTAAGCATCCGATTTTTCCTTGTCGAAGAATCGATTGCCCAATTAGAAGGACTTGAGGCTTTCACTATTTCGTAGGAATAAGAAAATTATTTATCTTTAGAATTAAAGTGTTAAATCAAATAGATATTTCATACGTCTCCAAATACTGCACTCTGAAGAATAATTGAATCAGTCACGTATCCTTTACTCGTACGTTTGATACGTGCAAATAAAAGTACATTCAAATTCGAATGTTAAATAATTTAAATTGTGAGGTTGCAAAATAAAAATTTTACTTATAGCTCACAAATTATGTGTTGATTTTTTAAGTGAAAAAAAAATTTTTTTTCATTTAAAAAATAATCGTCCACTAACCTTAGAATATTCGACTCCTGATATATACAATATATGCCTGGTGATTTCTTCTGGTAAAAATAATTAAGTGATCACAAATCAATATACAATGATCTATACCCAAGTTAAAATGATCGATACACACGTTGCGAAGTTTCGTGAGCAAGTGTCTCGAGTCCGTAGTCCATGGACGCTTATATACTTCCCCACTGTTCCTGCCTGACTATGTATATCTCATGCGTATACGTACTCTCCACCTACATTCAACAATTTAGATTGTTCTCTAGATCAAGATGTGTGACAATTGATGCATCGATAAAAGTTTAAATTATGATCATTGATCGATAAATAAAATCAATGTACCTTCAATCAATGAAATAAAATAATAAATCAATATTCTCGAATGTGAATTAATTTACCTGATTTCAATAAAAAAATTTTATGAATATTGTTAATACCTATATATTAAACATTTTTTAATATATATATATATATATATATATATATATATACAGATATATATCCGTATCGTTTCTCTTCTTCTGCAAGACTTGATGAGCTTCGTCAGGAACACATCTCCGTAGTTTTAACGAAGTCCCAGAGAGTTTGCGCTTCCTGCCTTCGTTCCATAAAATTGCGTTATACGCCCTCAAGGCGGATTCACAGTTGCGACTAATCGAGTTAATAAGACACTCCGTAGCCGGAGCGTCTTCAAAAGCCGAGAAACCGATCAAATTTTGAAATCAAAGAGCATTCAGAATCTTCAAGGAAAATGATGCAGAGCGTAAGAGAAGTTTTAATACGCTTATGAACTCGGATGAAGCTTAAATAATTAAATTTAAAAAAAAAAGGAAAAAAATAAAAAACCTCGAAATTCACTCTTTCATTTATTAACGATAATCAATTGTTCCATGACCTAGGATAATGAAAAGTATCTTGAGCCGTAATAAAAAAAAATAAAGAAAAAACTTGTTCTAAGATGCTAAAAGGAATTCTGACCGAGATACCTAGCGAGATGACGAGGACCTTGAAATTGTGAATGGCTGCTGGAATCCGTCATGCGAGTCAAGTATATAAATATTGAGATCGTTTAAATCCCAGTTTTCAATTCGTTAGACAACAAGATTCTTCTTCCTGTGTATGAGCAACAAGTCGGTCGAGGAAACCCGGCAGGGATTCCCGTATTGCCTACGTCATCGTATACGTCACTATAGCGAGAAGGCATTGAAAGAGAGAGGGAGCCATTTAGGATTCCAAGAGAAGGAAAGTGGCGACATCTTTCGATTCCTCGTAATATCGTATACCACTGTGTTATCCGCGTGGTCCAGGATGCTGCGTGTGTATGGAGAAAAGCAACGTGACCATTTCGTATTACGTATGCGTATTAAGGAGAAAAGATATTTTAAAGAGAATACAAGAATTTTAAGTAATACCGAAAGATGATCCTGGTATTGTTATAAGATAACGAATGATTACGTTCTAGAGTCAATCCTGATAAGAGGATTTCGATTGGGATAATTTAAGATAAGAGTCTTTAAGTTACTACCTTCCTAAGATGGAGAAAGAGGTCGAGATGAATTCTTTTACTTTATTTCCCCAGCTTTTCCTCGAGAGCTCTTTTTCTTCGTTGATTCCTTTTTCTTTTCACTCCGGGTAAAACGTAGCTCTGTGCCGTTACCATGGATACCGTAAGCACCCCGTACCGTGAAATTCAAGACTCTTCGACAGCATCCCATCCGAATTGGACCACCTGTTTGTTCGGGAGATCTTTTGGCAAGGAGTTATAAGATTTTTCGCAAAAAACAAAGCAAAAAGAAATCGCGCAAAGAATTGCATTGGCGTAGAAATAAAAATTATGAATTTTGTTTTATTTCGAGATTTATCCAAATTTTCATTTTTCTTTTATAAATACATGTAATTATTTTTATCAAAGGATCTTTAATCATCGGGTACAGCCGTTTCAGATAATAAACTTGTCGTTAGCAAGCCAAAAGGGAAGCCCGGTACAATTTCCTGAAGATTCACGGATCGTCGACTCCTGTCTCTTCTCTGGAGCCAGCATACGGTCCAGCGGATCCTGCAAGGATTCTGCGGGATCCTATTGTCGCTTTGACAAAAGGAAATCATTCTCTTCGACGTGAAAATTAATTTTAACTTTAATCAAGAGGTCATAGTATCATCGTTCTGGGTCATATAAATCAAGTAACAGGTTTATGGACCCCATAGGCATCTTTCTTTCTTCCATATATACATACATTTTTTATTTTATTATTATTCTTCCATTATTCTTCTAGAATCCCATCCGCAAATGCGATGCATTATGTATAAGGGTTCAAGATAGCCATGGAAAAGCCACAATCCACTACCACGGTACGCTCTACTACCTTCGACCATCAAGAGAGAACAACCAACCCATATCAGAAAAGTAGTAGCAGTCAGTGTGTTAATTTTTAGGTCACCGTGGTTATTTTTTAATTTTTGGTAAACCTCCAGGAATCAATGCTGATAATTCCTAAAAATTCTCAAGGGCTGGTGAAACAGGCCGAAAATAAATTTACCAAGCCTTGTAAGCTTGTTGTTAAAAAATATATATATATACAGTTGATGCTGAAATAGGGGAACAAGGGAATTCCATTAAGCCACCACTTGAGAGGAGCTCGGAGTGGCGAGAATGAGTGCCCACAGGACTCACAGGATTCGCAGGATTTTATAAGTCATAGGAAACGTATTGAAAATCGATTTAACGAAAAATCTAAGCAGGCCATGGATAGTGATTACAGTTTTTCGGTTTCGCGGCCCGTTGGGATTTTCGTCAATCGATTACTAATTATTACAAATGACAAATTGACTGGTTAATGAAAAATTTTGATATTTCATTCGGACATGGAGGATTTACAAGATTACTTGGAACTTGTTAATCCGCATTGGATAGCTATTGTTCTGTCAGGCATGTATACGCATCTCAGGCAAATATGTGTAATCGGATTGTGCACCGAAGTCGAGGTTACTCCCTTTGAACCCACTTATGCGTCAACCTTATTTGTATTGTCAGTTCTGTGCCTTTTGGCTGAGTACAAATTGTGGCCACGTTCTCTCAAGGAACCGCCTGTGCAACTTGTATACATTTATGAGGTATGAGAAATTAAGGTTAAGATTTTATGTTGATTTCCTTTTATGTAATTAAATATAACTTTTTTATACAGATGCTGGTATCGGCGCTGATAACAAATCTCGCTACGAAAGCAGTATGGATTCCCCTGTTACGTGTAATATATTGTCTTACGCAAGAATCGAGTAAATGGGTAACGTATATAATTATTTGTAAAATTTTAGTATATTCAATGCTTATTAAAAGTGAATTTTTGTCGTGATCAAAATTTTTATTTTTTCAAATTTTACTTTTGATATCTTTTTTTTTTTAGTTATTCTGGGTAAATTCTACTGTGGGTCTTGGACGATATTCCTTCCTGGCTAGTTGGGCTTATTACATGGAGAAAGAAATGGCAGCCATCCATGTCTCCTATTGCGCTGCTCTTCTTGCATTTGTCTGGATGCTGGACGCGACCGAGGCGTTAGAGGCAGTTCTGGACACTTTGATGAAGTAGGGGATACAGGGTCCAGGATCTTTCAGGAGATCTGCAGGATGTACTAGGAGGACTTCAGGATCGTTATTTGTCCAGGAACACGAGCATCGCTGGCAAAGATAGGAGAATCACTTTTGAAAATCCAGTAGTCACCGATTGGTATTTCTACGAGAGCGGTTGAAGAGAAAAATATAAAATTAATTTAATGCGAAAGGAAAAAATTTTCCAAATTCTGTCCGCTTGTCAAAAAAATGTCTCTACTATGTCACTGTAAATTTGTTAATCAATAAAGTACAATTTGTTTAATTAACTTTTTTTATAATTACAACATTTTAAGTATTGCTCTGAAGTTTCATTTCTTTTTACGATAGAAAAGCATTTTTTACGTATCGATTAGTTTCGAGCGATAGGCAATTTTTTTAATTTCTCTTTTTCCGGCAATTCAAAATGGCCAAACTTCTTTGCACGATCTGGGCATTGCTATTCAACACTGTGGGAATATCCATTTTTCATACGTGTTTTTCAAATTCGATCGAAGATGAAAACGGAGAAACAATACTTATCGGTCCACCCATAACAGGTTTTTTATTCGCCTCTGGTGTCTACATAATAATTCTTAAATTGTCATTATTTCCAACGTCATTTCGTAAGCTCAAGCCATCTCTCCTTTGTCTATACGAGGTTAAGTCCTATAATAAAATAATAAATCGATACTACATAACGACGACCCTGATACTAAAAATGAATGAAGTAAATTTTGAAAAAAAATATATATATTTACAGTTCCTCACGTGTTCCTTCATCCTGGAGTTTGCCATAGCTTGCATATGGGCTTCCATAGACCATTTCCTACTTACCACCATACCGAAAATACTGTGTCAAGTAAATACCAATATATAACAAGAATGCCTACATCGTTCTAACCTTTATTTTCGTTAATCAGATATTAATTCGTACGGGATACGTAGATATTGGCGCTTGGATAACAGCAAATAAGAGTATAATGGCACTCCTCAATTTCATAGTATCGCTGTCATTTTTCCTTCTGTCGCTACACGTCACCAGATCCGTGGATTTTACGATTTGGACGTAACAAAAATTCATCCACCCCCCATAACTGTATATACACGTCTTATGGGACACACTAAATATTCACAGGGACTGTGGCGCCGTTGAATTCGTCCAGCACGTGCAGTACAGACTGTTAGAAAAATTGATGAGCGAGTTGCCAAGGATCGGCCACGTGAAACGTCATCGCAGAGGTCGTAGACACGGCCCGAGCAGAAGTCGAAGCTGCGACGATGATTCATAAATAAGAAAACGAGACGTAATTCGTTATCAGCTAAATAGCTACAGATCGGTTTATTTAATCCTTTTTATTAAAAAGAAGGCATTTATTTTTTTTGTCCGAACTGAAATGTAAAGTACAAATGGTATAGATAATAGTGGTAATAATACAATTAATCGTTTAATAATATCAATTAATTAATAATACGTACGTCGATTATACGGTAGATTATCATATTGTAATTGTACTAATGAAATGTGTTCAGTGGCAGTATGTATATATATAATATATTACAGTAGTTTTCGATCATTGCTACGGTAAAACAATTGGTTTTAAACCTATCAGTTAGTATAAGTCATGTTGAATACGAATCGACTGTTCAGACCGTCATTAAACAGACAGTGTAAACAATGACAAAAATCTTATCGATCAATGAACAAGCCTTACAAGTAATAATCATTCTTACGTCAATTTAATGTTAAGATTTATTTTGAGATCCCATACGAATAAAACAAAAATCAGAGATTGGTCAATAAAATAAAATATGTAGTACAAAAAAATTACAGTCATCAATTATGCAACTCATCGTAATGAATCATTTTCTATGTACATTACCAGAATGCCCGAGCGTAAGTACGAATTAACGTAACGAGCGAGTGCGGATATCGCTGCGCATGCGCAGACGGTCCGAAGAGTCCATCCGCGAAGCAATGCCTCGTGCCCGTCATTAATTCGATAACCTCTTAGAGAAATGTACAGAAACCTTAATGAGCCCTGACTAAATCCTCTTGCCACTGTACACACGACGTAAACGATAATATTAACGATAAGTCATTGCCTGCTAATGCCAGTCTGTGGAATACTGTCGCTGCCTAAACGCTAAATTAGGTTAGGATCATTGGAAGTAGGATAAGGACGACTGGGAGATAGAGCTAGATTGGAAAAGTAAGGAGGTGTACAGGAACGACTGATGACTCAATGCCGGACGCATATTTTAGGTAAAGGATATGCGGGTAGGGGGACGAAGGAGAGGACTGAGGGAGTGGGGGATTACAAAAAATGGATTGATAAAAGAATAAAATTTTTAAAAAATTACACGAGGACGAAACTTAATATCACAAATCGTGGTAAACGATACGCGGTCGTCTAATATGTATATAATAATATAACGATAGGACAATTATACAATAACGTCGCTGTATAAGGTAACGTACTTACACGTGTATGCGCATTAGGGATAATCGTCACTGGGATCCCTAACCGATAAATTGACTATTTTAATTATTCCGTTTGAGAATTTTACAAATCAGTCGATTCGAGTGGAGTGCGTCCCGACGTAAGTTTATATACGTCGCGACGAGGACTCTGTGTTAATAAATAACCCTTAACCACGTCGCTTTCGATTCCATTGACCCACGTACAAAATAAATAGAGAAACAACGATGGCTCCTTAATACATAACACCGTGGTTCGTAATGTCCTTTAATCGCTATTCATTCCTTTTACTGTTTTCCTCGTCTTTCAAATTTCTTTTTCTTATTTTCTTATTTTTTTCTTCTTTTACATTGTAATTAATTCATTACAATTATACACATTTACGCGACTAACGACTCTCTCTCTCTCTCTCTCTTACTTTCTTACATTCTTTCGTTCTCACATTCTCTCTCCCACTCGTTCTCTCTCAGACTTTCTCAAGTACACCGTGGCTCGGGCTAATTACCCGTCTTTCCATGCGGCTCCTATATAAATTCATATTTATATATATATATATTATATTCGTAATAATATCAATAATAATAATTCATTAATTAATTCATAATAATGACCGTCGGGGACGGTCGCAATAAATAGTTTTAGTATGGCGAGGGGAGAGGGTCGTTACTCGAACTCTCATGGGTTTTCGCTACGCGAGAGCGATAACGCAATATGATTTCTAAATGGTAATATTCATATATATATATGTATGAATATATATGAGAATATATATACACATAGATATATATGTATATAAATAAATGAGATTCCATACAAAAGAGTTCCATGCTCACGTACACACATGGGATGGGGGTTGGGTGAGGGGTTGACTACATATTACGTGTCTAAACGCGCTATGCGAAACGCGCTATCGCACGGTCTCCTTATTCAATTGCAATAGGTTAGAGAGTTTAAAATTATTGCGTGGGTTCGTAATGTGGTGGTGCATGTGCTGCCATCTTTGTGGGCAACGCGTCACTTCGCTGCCTGTCAGCAGCACTGGGAAACACATAAGTGTTACCCAGCAGTCAGCTATCCGTCATTTCTACATATTATCATTCTATCATTTCGTACTAGGTTGCTTATTTTTTTCATTCTTCATGCTTTCGTTTTTTTTTTGTATCCTTTTGTTTTTCTACCTTTCTTTCTTAAACGATTGATGATACGTGAGGACGCGAGAGCGACGAGGACACCGCACTTGCCGACACTGACACGGGGGGCACTGCTCTGTTTTCGCGAATATTCGTTTTTCTTATTCTTCTTTCTTCTCTCTTTAAAGATCTTATTCAAAGCACTCTTTATTCCTCTCCCTCACTTTCCTCCGTAGGGCCGTACATGTCGGCCAGCTTGTCAAATCGCGGGCCCCAGGTACCTAAGTACTCGTACTCGTGCTGCTCGTCATCTGTACCTGAAGAATGAGTCAAATATTTTGTCACGAGTTCGATCTCAGGTGTTTTCCTTTCTTTTACATACCGGAAGCTAAGGACGACAAGGAACCTGCAGTACTTCCGCCACCCTCGTACGCGTAATTTCGTAGATCGTCAAAGGGCGGTGCGTTTGGATCACTATCTGCCCTTTTCTTGTGATCTTCTATGAACATGCCCACGTTGGGTTCTGGTCCTAGTGGATCTAAATATTTTCGCAGTTGAATTCGATGCTCGAGTTTTATTTGATTTGTGTTCACTATTGATACTTACAGGCAATTTTACATGGAGGCAACTTTCCACCCATTTCCGGTATCGGACCGCCAATTGGAATTTGTAATGGCGTGATGTCGAAAGCCGTCATGTCGTCCTCTCCGCCGCCTTCGTCGTCGTAATTGATGATGTTTTCTCGGACGTCATCGTCTGGACCTGGATACTTTATGTGGGACTCTCTTCTTCTATTGTAAACCACGAATACCAAGACTAGCACTGTTGATAAGTATTAATGTTAATCGTTGATGAAATGCGGAACAGTGCTCAATGATATACTATATGGTGCAACGATGGATCTTGCAATTCACATCGACAAATAATGGAACTCTCGTTCCACGACTACCAACAGAAAAGTTGTAACTACAGTGCACTGGGCGTCAGGTATGGGGACACCGTCCCCAAGTTAACACAGGTTCAGTACATGCTCGGCAGGTGCGTAAAGCTGGAAACAACAGAAGAACTGAAAATACAGACTACAGAAAAAGGAAAGAATCTAGGAAATTGATAGTAAGCAGAAATGTCAACCCAAAACAGAATCCACGAAAAATCAATAAAATAGAAACAACAATCCGTTAATAAAATAGGAAATTTAATTAGTGTTAAAATGGAACCACGGTTCCTTAAACAAGTATAAACTACACTATAAGCGTGTCCGTGAACCAGGCAGCAATCTTAAAAAATAATAAAAAAATAGCATGTCTTAAATAACATGTCAAACTTGAAGTTGAAAAAATAATATACCAAGAATGATGAGGAGACACACTAAAATGGCAGCCAAGGCTCCCATACTAAGTTTTAACGTCTGGCCTTCTTGAACCAATTCACAATTTTCACCCCAGAAACCATCTGGACAGATGCATCTGTATCGGAACCGTGGATCCTGATTAATGCAGCGTCCACCATTGAGACATGGATAATCGATACATTCATTTTTATCCATACATCCTTTATTGTCCGGAGATGGTATCCTACCCTCGCCACAACTGCGTACAAAAATCCCTATTATAGCATTTAGAAGATATTTAATGTTTCAATGTCATTGTGAAATACTTACGTGCAATCATATTCATTCCAAAGATCAATGCATTCAAATGGTTCAGGACAGATAACATTAGCACAGGGCTTGTTGGATGGACAATTCCTATCCAAATTTCTAGCCATGGTGGCCTGACCCCATTGGGTCCCATTCATAGCCGGTGGGAGCGGAAGATGTTTTCCTTCTAATCTAAGATCATCTAGACACCCTTTTTGATAATCTGCATATACTTCAAATGTTCGTACACCTGTGTACTCAGCTTTACCACCCGCGTAAACACCTTCCTGTTTATCGACTAGGAGCCATTGGTGACCTTCAAATGAGAAGGTTTCATTGAACCTTCTACCTTCTCCACCATCAAGTTCCAAGGTCGCTGCTGAGCCATATCTGGATACTCGAACAGTATGCCATTGCCCATCGTCTACAGCTATTGCCGTTAGCCAGATATCTCGTTCTTCAGTTCTCAAACTGTTCAGATTATATCTGAAGTGAAGCCTACTATCTTTAATCTAAAAGTAAAAAAGTTCATAATTACGATATTTCAAAAATTAATTTGATCCAAAATTAATTTAATAAGGATTTACCTCCAAGATGGCGTATTCCCTGTTGTGCTGATCGCTGACCCGGAACAACTCTCCGTGCACCTCCCTAGTTCTGAATCTCAACTGAACCTGAGTCGAGTATTTATCAGGTTCAAAGGACAAAGCATATTTCACATAACTCTGGGGCTTAAAGGTTGTAGGTATAGTTGGTGTCATACAACCAGCTCCAGTCCATCCTGGATTGCACTGACATCTAGCTTCAGCAAAACTGCCGACACAGGTTCCATGTTCCCAGCACCTAAATGTCGACTCCTGGTTGTTGCATATCTCTTCGGTTTGCGGACAGCCTGCTACGCTGTTACGCGATAATCCCGGATGGGCCAGGTCGTATAGTTTACTATTGTGGAAGAGATTTTTTATACAGCCATCGAAACCTTTTCCTACTGGCATATGCTTCCATTTATAATGTGCTGGATCAAATTGTTCAACGTAAAGACCACCGATTTGCAATGGCGCATTCACGTTCAGATATTCGTTGAACGGCGGAACAATTCCTTGTGCCTGACAACTTGAATCGTTAAACTTTGGTGGAGAACCATCTTCAAGTTCTGAGATCACAGCTGACTTGCAATAGTCCACTATCAGTTTGACGTTCTGAAAAGTAAAGTTGGTGATTGTAATTGTAGGCTTTCAGGACGACTACATAACTCTAATTATAAGTTTTAAAACAACAATATTCTAACTAACCTCAGTGTCCCAGAAAATATCCAGTCTATGCCATTCGCCGTCGTCTAGAGTCGCTTTTGTTGTTACCTTCAATTCAAGGGTACCAGAACCAAAGTCTATGAGCAGTCTGGGATGTCCGCGTTCTAATTCCACTGATATAAAATCTACGAAAACACAACATCATATGGTACTTATAAGAACAGTCAAAAAAGTGATTTATTTGTAATGCTTTTATTAAATCCTACTCACCGGAAACCATGGTTTCGTCAAATTCCGGTGGCACTATAGGTCCGTTATAGAGTAACAATCCGTCAGAATGTCGTGTTATAAATTCAAAACTCAAATGACTGCTGTCACACATTTCTAATGCCGGATACCAGGCCCATCCATTACCACGGAAACTCCTTGCTGTCTGCTGACAGCGCGGACCGTTATAACCGGATGGACATTGACAGCTATAAACAAGAGTAGTAAAAATTGTAGTGAATTATTATTATATGTATATCAATGCGTGCATTATATCGATTAGTTACTTACGATAAACCAAAACGACCTTCGACGCAGCGTCCGCCATTGTAGCAAGGACTGCTTCTACAAGATTCACCCTTACTGAAATTACGAGCACCGCAAGTACACTCCGCGATGACGTCCACGCGGACACCCACTAGAGCCGTCTTATTGGCATTTACCATATAAGGCAAATTATTGATGTCCAAAGTATTTGTACAGCTACCCTCACACATTTCGTTTTCGTAAAAGCACTCATCTATCCCAACCATAGTGATATTTATTCCCACGTCTTTCTCAATCTGCAATTTTTAAATAATTATTTATCCTCTTATGTCATATAATTATTACCTTAATTAAATTAATATAATTTACTAACCTCTTCTCGATGCATCAGCACAATGCCATTGAGTCTAACCGGTTTATAATATGGGGAACCATGCGCGGCAAATCTTACATCAGTTAATGGAGGATGCTTCCTACGCAATTGGACGCTGAAGACGTCGACTTTTTCGAGTTCGATATTCAATAATTTTGCAAGCTTATCTCTAAACAGTTCCGCCTTGCTTCTGGACAATGTCTGTGACTGGAATGTCGAAAATTAATTGTTCAATTTATTTTTTTTATTAAAAAAATCTTGCGTAGTGGACTTAAAAAAATATGTAAACTCACCCTATAATTCCATACGCGTATAAAGTCCTCGTCAGTTATACCGGATATTCGAACGGAACCGGAATTGAGAACGGCTTCATGGGGAATACTTTTTATGGTAACTGTGACGTTGGCAGGTACGTCTGTCTGCGTATGTTTTCTATCATAAACTTTGAATCTCAAGTGATAACGGCCATCGTGAGTTCCGGATTTCATAGAAATCATGCCGGAATCTTCGTCTAATTTAAATTGTGCGTGTTCCAAACCTTCCCAGTAAAATTTCTTATCCGGTAAGTCCCAATCATCAAAATCGTAGACATAAACTCGACCGATTTCGGTATCAGGTGACTGGCCCTAAAGTTATGAATAATTGTTTTTAAATTCAATTTGACACTTTTGATAATAGAGATTGAACTGAAAATCAGTGGATACTTACTGCATAATTATATACAAATATATCCTTAGAACCAGGTTGCATTTTATTATCATTTACATCACCGATTACGACTGTCAGTGTGCTGGTACCGGCCATTAAAGGTGCCCCAGAATCCTTAATGACAATTGGAATCAGATATTCCTTTTGTTGTTCTCTATCGAATGATCTCAAAGATGAGACAATAGCCATACCATCCCCATTAGCGCCCTCTGAAATTTCATGGAATATTGGATTTGAGAATTATTCAATTAAGTCAAAGAATCGGAAGTGACGAAGGAAGCGATACTATTATTCCTGATAAGTTATTAAATCAAAGAAACACGACCCGGCCTCTTGAATGAATAACGGATTATTACGAAAAATAATATATATCAAGCAATAAACAATGGAAATACGTTTCACTCACTATTATCGCTCTCCACTTTGAAGCTCGCTTTTATCACATCGTCCGCATTGGGATCCATTCTAAATGTAAATGGGGGACCGTTGGTTTTTGATCTGTCATCGTCATCCGTTGCCAAAATTTCCGCTACCTTTCTTGGCTGAGCATATTCCGGTAGTATAGGCCTATAATCTTTGAGGAACGTAGGTGCGTTGTCATTAATATCATCGACAATTACGGTCAGGGTAGCCGTGGCAGTTTTTGGCGGAATGCCATCGTCAATCGCCAATATCTTTACCTGGAGACAATGAAAATAATATTTTAAACCGACCGCGCAGTGTTCAAGATAAAATTGATTGATGTTCACGCGGGAGGAAAGTTTGTTCAAATGTTAAAACTTGTCTGATATGTTCTTTGGACATTTTCAAAGTAATTTAATATTTGTTTCTCTATTCTATCTCCTGTCTTCTATACTACTTACTTGATGTCGCGGGGTTTCCTCCCTATCCAAACTTCGCTGAATGGAGACAGTGCCACTCTCATCGATAAAGAATTGCCTCTTCCTGTCAGAACTTCGATCTATTGAATAGGATACCTTACTCTTGCCACCTTGATCGGGATCTGTGGCTTTAAAAGTTTCCAAGCTCTTCCCGATAACGGCGTCCTCCGTCACGGTGGTCTCAATATTCGCCCTTTCGAATTGCGGCATATTGTCATTGATATCACGTAGATTTACCACTACCCAAGAATAAGCAACGTGATACTTGTCACTATCGTGATCTTCTCCCTTGATAAGAAATAAAAAATCGAAATAACATTTTTCTTCCCAACATTTTCTAAAAACTTGCACGAGTTTTATATATCAAAATATCAGATTTTGTTTAAAAAAATTTATATTATTAACAGCCAACATTTACCTTGTCATTGACTTGTATCCTAAATCTAAATCCATTACTCTGTAATTGATCTTCATAATCCAGAGGCTGAACAATTTTTAGAGAGCCGGTACCATCGTTATTTCGCACCATAGTAAATTTGTCAGCGCCATAACCACTGTCTTCAAGAACTTTATACTGAAATTTATTTGTCTCATCCTCGTCGTGAACTGTCACTGTCAAGATTGGCATTTCCGGTAATTCCGACCCGTAGGTCTCGTCCACTTCCGTTCGCCATTCGTCTTTGGTAAATTGGGGTGGCATATCGTTTATGTCTTTGACACGTATCGACGCCGTCCCCGTCCCTGCGTAAAATTATTAGTCTTTAGTTTTTCATTAATTTCACGCGATATACATGAAAATACGTTTGGTTGTGAAATTTCCCGTAACATTGTTACTAGTGAAAATAGCAGTATTCAACTGTCCATGGATATCGGAATATTGATTTGCGGAATTTGAACAAGGCACTAGTATCCTAATTATTTATTCGTTTCTTCGTTTGGCCGACCACACTTCCATGATTGGTTTGCTATAATTTATTCACGTCAATATTCTCCTACGTCACATTGTGAGGAAATATATAAACATCGTATATCCATTTTTGTTTTGAAATGTAGTATCAATAATGATTCAATGCCATATAATGATTATCGACTAGATATTCTAACCATAGCAAATTAGGTCAATTATATTTAGTGTCTCACATAATAAAATAAATAATGAGCGCACGATTTACAGTGTAATAAATCGTGAAAGTTATTATTTATAATATCAATATGCATTTTTGCCTCTATAGCAGATGTCGATTTACACTCAATTATTTTAAATTAACATTACCCACCTTTTAACCCCCCTCCATCCATTGCAACGACCTGTATAGAATAATCCGGTGTGCGCTCTCTATCCAGACAACATACAGCAGTTTTGATAACACCAGTTTCGGGTTCAATTTCAAAAATCGGTGAACCAGTCTCCTCCTCAATAACATTTTTCTCAATGGAGTAAATTAATTTGGCGTTGGTTCCCTCATTGGGATCATCATAATCCACAGCAGTCATAGTCATCACGACCATTCCTACAAAAAAGACGAATTAGGATTTATCAATTGACATCGTTATCGGGATGCTGAGATAATAAGATAAGATGACGAATCATTGTTCCCCTGATTTTTGTTTAACTCTACTGGATCGATCAAAAGACAAGTGGCTATCAGGTCGTAATTAAATTCGAGGGGAATCATGAAAGGGCAAGATTCGAAGCAATCCCGTATAATCTGATATGAATGAGACTGATTAAATTACCGGACGTTCCATTTTCCGTGACATTCCCAAAATAGACACCCTGAGGGAATATCGGAGGGTTGTCATTAATATCCTTCAGGTTGACTTGCACATCTGCATAACCTACGAGACCGTCGCCACCTTCGTCCTGTGCAAACACAGTAAACCTCCACTGAGGTCTACCATTAGGCTGGTCCCTGTCCAATGGCTGTAAATCAAGCAAGAAATAAAAAAGACTTTTGTAAAATATCAATGTTTAACAAGAACACTAATATCGAACGATTCAACCGAATTTTACCTTCAGTACAAAAATTTCGCCATTAGTGCGATTGATATCGAATTTACTATTAGCCGGATTATCGGGATCAATTCCCTGACCGGTCAAGAAATACACGATATTCTGAGGCCTGTCCTTATCACCATCACTCGCCGTGACCTACATAAAATATATAATCAATTACGTACAACCTCTCGTATAATTGTTCTCAAGAATAAAAATATTTAAAAATATTCAAACAAACCTGTAATACTCTTTTTGGCAAATTTCTATCATCCTCTTCCGTAATTTGAGTTCTATACGTGGGTCTCTCAAATACAGGAGGATTATCGTTAACATCCTTCACGTGAATAACCACAGTAGTATAGTTCTCTTTCAAGTTGTCTGAAGCAGTCAAACGAAGCTCGTACTAAAGAAAAAGAATAGAGAGGAAGAACAGATGAAAATATACGTATATGAGAAAGATCGCATTATATGTTAAAGATATACAAGTGAGAAGGACGCGTTTATAAAAAATTCTGTGCTTTTAAATAAATTCTTAGTGGCACGAAGAGACAAGGGCTCCTCGGCATTTATCCAAGCAGATTGACACAGAGGTTAGAAGTGGCGTCACGCTCAAGGTATACATAAGCTTCAAGTGGATAAAATAAAATGGCGAAGTACCCTCTTCCTGGTCTCGTAATCCAGAGCCCCAGCTACATAAATGGCTCCAGTCATATTCTTCACAGCGAAGGCACCGCCTATGTTCCCGCTCGTAATCTCGTATCGAATACGCGAGGCTGTAACATGTCAGTGTAGTTAGCATAATACTCATTGTAGACGCTAGATGGAGAAGCCAGTGGAAATCCTAAAGCAATCTAGAACGGAAACTCACACTCGTCGTGATCCTTGGCGGTGACTGTGAGGACGGTGTGTTGAATATCTTCATTTTCATCTACCTCAGCCTCGTAGAGGCCCTTGTCAAAGTAGGGTGGATTGTCGTTCTTGTCGGCTATTCCAATGCGAATGAATTTGGTTACTGTGAAAGAGAAATATATAGATATATTAGACCGTTGAACATTGATACTCTGTGAATTTGTGGCACACAGACCCGATTCCAAGAAGGAAATAAACGGAATAAACGATCGAGTCAAATGGATATTAAAATAAAATCCTCAAACATTTTGCAGCCCTCGTAGGAAGCATAAAAATCTCAATTGTACCCATAGAGGATGATCGACAGTATAAAAGGAGCGAACCGTAAGGGATGTTTCAGCCCATAGAACGTAAGAGTGAAGATTGAAATCTCAGTCAAAGAGATCATTAAGCATCTTTATAGGGGTAGGTCATATCGAAGTTCGTGTAAAATTAATCCACGTACGAAGTGGATAGGTATTGAGCAGCCAACCCTTGGCTAAATTCTTATAGTGCTTGAGAGAAGGGATGAAAAAAAAAAAACAAGGAGAGAAGGTGAAAATCGAGTAACAACGTATCAGGTAAAAAAAAAAGTAAATGAAATCGACAAAAAAAAATTGAATGAAGGAATCGTAGCTTTTCCCATGGTTCTGGTAAGTTCGGTAAGGTTAGGGTGAGAAAGTGAATTCAGAGGGTGGGTAGCTAAGGGAACCAAGTGGTGTGTGCCCTGGCTCTGAAACGCGTTACTGGGCCACGGGCTAAGAAATCGATGAAGCTCCCACCCTGGTTTCGCGTTTCCAACGGCGCAACCCCCCCCCCCCTCCCCCCCCGG